AAGGAAGGAAGGAAGGAAGGAAGGAAGGAAGGAAGGAAGGAAGGAAGATGAAAAACAGCTGGGCTAGTGAAGTATTTCTCAGTATACTCTGAAAACTTCTAGGATCCCATTTGTTTTCCAAGGATCTGGGGAGACTGGGGTAAAGGGTATTTTTCTTAGAGTATGGGAAAGCAAATAGAACGCTGTTCAAATCTAATGTGCTTGAACATTAGATGGAAATCTAGGGTCAAGAAACAAATGAGAGGCAGCCCTGGGCTTGGAGGTCTCTGTTGCAAGGAGGGATTCTCAATACTTCTCACTGAGTCAGTGGCCTTGCTTTCTGCCTATCTTGCATCCGATGTGAGAAGCAGGTGGTACACAGACTGGTGGGCAGGCATTGTTTTATGTCAGAAGCATTTGGCTTTTGTTTTCCCCACAGATTGAGCCTTTCTTTGTGAGTGTGGCGCTTTATGACCTCAGAGAAAGCAGGAAGATCTCTGCCGATTTTCACGTAGATCTGAATCACCCTGCTGTCCGGCAGATGCTCTCAGGGGCCCCACCAGCCTTGGAAAATGGCAACATTGACACTGGCACACCAAGACAATCAGAAGAACCTCACATAAAGGGCCTTCCAGAGGAGTGGTTAAAATTCCCAAAGCAGGTTGCACTTTGTTTATTTGTGATGCGACAGAAAAGCCTTGTCCCTTAGATTGTTCCTTAACAATAGGTCATATGGGCAATTCCCCCTACCCCACCCCACTCCCCAAAAATCCTTAAATCTGTCGTTTTTTTAAATGACATTTTGTGAATGTCTTCAGGGTCATTTTATGGTAGTTACTTACTGCTTTCTTTGGGCACAGGCTATATTCTCTGTGAGTGATCCACACTCTGAAATTGTTTTGGTGGCCAAAGTCGAAAAAGTTTTAATGGGAAATATTGGGAGTGGTGCTGAACCTTATATTAAGAATCCAGACTCCAACAAGGTAAAGATTATATTCTTATAAATAATTTCAGTCACTTTAAACAAATGAAGTCATACTGCCTTCCTGAATTATAAAAGTTGATAAATTTATGATTTTTAATATTCACTTACCAGTATAATTAATACCTACCAAAAAGATTTTAAATTATACATTTTTGGTTTGTGTCCTTTTGAGTCAACAGTCTATGATGTCCATGAATCTGTTATGTGGTTCTAAGTCTTCCTAATGTGGTTCTAAGTCTTAATATAGTTCCTCATGTTATGATGACCCCCAACCATAAAATCATTTTCATTGCTTCTCCATAACCCTAATTTTGCTACTGTTATGAATCATAATGTAAATATCTGTGTTTCCCATGGTCGTAGGTAACCACTGTGAAAGGGTCATTCGACCCCCCCAAGGAGGTGTGCCCCTCAAGGTGAACCATTGTATTAGTAGAAGTAAACTATAATTTGTATATTGCTTTAGCCCCAAAGACCAAAGGATTTATACAATAACAAAGTTAGAAGTCAGAATCGAGTGAAGTCAGTTTTCAAAAATATCAGCAAGTTGACAATGGAATAAATAGCAAAGACAATTTATTATGCATTAAATATAATAACAGTGAAGTACAGAAAGATAGACATAAGGAGCAATGTAGCCTGAATGGTAAGACCAGTGATTTTTTTTGCTTTTTTTCTTTCCATTACCTTGTTACTTAATAATCAAATTATGAATTACCTGTTTACTAAAAGATAAATGATTTAAAGTATCTATTTTCCATACAAAAGAAAGATAACAAGGAAATAACTTAAAACAAGAGAATCTGAGCATGTACAACAATTTAGACTGTAGTTTAATGTGTTCATGAATTTCTCATATCATTGTCCAGCAAACTATCTGATCAGACCACATTCAACCTGTTATCAGGTTTTGTAAATAAAACTTTATTGACATTCAATCCCACTATGCTTAGAATGTGTGAAGCCCTGGGTTTGCTCCAGCATTGAAAATGGAGGTGTTTCTTCCGCTTCCCTGTCGCTACCCCCCACTACAGCAATAGATCTGAGAAAGGTGTGACAGAGAATGCAGGGTCCATGCAGTCCTTCACAGAAAGTCTCTTGCTGAATAAATAAGAAAGCTGTGATCTGGTACCAATTGTGAATACAAACTTGATAACTTTCCATTCAAGATTTTAACTTCTCTTAGCTAGAAAGGAGGGAGGGAATACGGCAGGAAGAGAAGCAAGGTGAGTGGATAATAATTGACATTTCAAGATTAGGGGATATTTCTACACTTAAAATTTTCAAATTAACAAAGAAAGCCTAGACTTCTACAATAACTTGAACACAGAGAGCGTCATATGTAATCTGTATGCCAGTAAGAAGAGATTGTATAGAATTTCAGTAGATAATAAAATGGAAAAATAAGCATTATTATTTCACATGTACAGTTTGTAATGGACTGTCCCTAAATGATATCTTATTTTTTTCCTCAGTTTGCACAAAAAGTCCTAAAATCCAATAGGCAGTTCTGTAGCAAATTGGGAAAATACCGGATGCCATTTGCTTGGGCTGTGAGGTAAGGTTCTACTTTGCCACTAACAGAATAGAGATGTCATTACAATCTGGATCAGAAGTTATGGCTTTGAATGTTTAATGTTGCCTATTGTGTTTCAAGAAATGTTAATTATGTTGTCATCTTCATAGACGTACACTTCACAGTTTAGCTCAACAAGGCAGGTTATACTAAAGGCCCCTGAAATGCAAACAGTGGGGGCATGGCCAAACGTACTGGGGGATCTTAGGAAGTATCAAACCGAAATCATAACTTGTTCATGCATATCTGGTTTAATGAACACAGTGTTTGATCAGTCCCGAGAGCCGAATGGACATACGATAAGCAGAGATAGACCATCTTTTCCTGTACACTTCATTTGGGCATAGAGTTCTGCTCTGAACGTGAACGACCAAATGAAGCCATCGAGTTGCTCACTTATGTGTCTTTGATTTGGGTGTAGATTAGCACAGACAGTTATATCCCCAGTTGACTCTGTTGGAAAATCTGGTGTTTGGGCACAAGGAGTAGACCCTCCATTGAAAAGACGGAACCTCTGTTGAGAATGGAACTTGCTTTTCAGATCGACGGACCCATCAACTCCAAGTGTCCCTCTCAAACTCATTACATCTGCATTGCTCTAAGAATTCTTTAAATGGGGAAACCCTGGCCTATACTCATCAGGAAAACAATTCAAGATCAGCAATGAACCAACTGAATGAAAAGGGTTTAATTACAGGCCTGGAACAAAACACTCCCTGAATGAATGTTGACAGCTTTATCCCAAAGGCAGTCCCTTCAACTCAAAATGCAAAGGCCAGAAGGAAGGTTGGACCTGTTGGGTATTTTTCAGTTCACACAGCTTCTGCTGAGGGACACTTTCAGAGAAAACCCACCAGTCTATGTCAGAATGCCACAGCCATCAAATTGGGGGCTGGTAGGTAGAAGAATAGAAGGCTACCAGCACCAGTCAGCCAGGACAGATCCCTGCTGGCTGCAAGGGCTGACATGCATTCAGACAACCTTGCAGCAACGGCAAGAGAGTCAGGTTGCCGAGCCTGGTAAGCACACCAAAGCTGGCAGGTTCAGGTCACCCCTTAATGGATCACTGAGCAAGATCCCACTCCGGGTCCAGAGTGTCTTCTGTAGAATGAGCAGAAAATACCTGTCTCATGAGCAATATGTTTTGTTAAAATCAGATTACAAGGATTTGGTATGAAAGACATCATGGATATTATTTTATCTCTCCCTTCCCACCTTTGCTTACAGAGATAACTAATGGTAAACATGAAAAACATTATATATTCATTATTATTATTATTGTTATTGAAATTCATTTTGGAGTTCATGTTCATGTTCCGCAACTTCCCGTTTCTTGTAAATTTGGGTCAATGAAGAGTAGTGTGGTGGACAGAAGTATATAATGTGTCAATTATTGGCAGAATGGCCCTTAGAAGTAACACCTTGACCCTAAAATTGTCAACAAACTGTGAGGGAGACAGATGAAGCTTCTGTGGGGGTCGGAAAGTGTTATCAGTGCTTAGAAGAATTATTGCTAGGAAAAGAAAGTTAGCAAAGCCACAAGCCCTTGCTGTATTAGGGCCCAGTGAGTGGTTCAGCTGTTGGTTAATGAGCTGTATACCCCACCAAAATGATTTCTACTTATGTGAGCTTCTCCGGCAAATGAGAGGGAAAAAAATGGCTGAACATGCAGAGATTATGATCCGTTTGGGTCGTTTGGAGTATCTAGCTTCAAAAAGCACACAAACCACCCAAAGAAGCAATCCCTACCCCACCTTCCAGCGAAAACACTACTTAAGCTAAGAGGAGGCGGGACCCTCCGGAAGCTAGCTGTCACTCACGTCACTCCGGAATAGACCAGCTCCAGGACATAGGAAATACACTGTTGGTACTGCTTACTCGCCATTGGCACTGCCTTTATGCTTTGTTTTCCATCTCGCAGTTTGTTTCACAGTATAGCTGCGAGTGTACCCTAAAACATTTGACAGCAACTGTAGTCAAAACAGTAGCATCCACAGTTGCCTGGAACCAGATTTTTTACCCAGCTGCTGCAATACACACAGGTCTCTTCGCTGTGAGCGTCTAATTTGAAATGCATCGGGTATGTTCTCAGATTCGGTACCAGCTGTACTGCCACGTCTTAGCAAAAAAAATTCTCTTTTGAACAGATGCAGAACACGGACACACACAGCTATGTAGGATAATGTATAATCAACAATTCTAAAAGATTGAATTTAGAAATACGTTGAATTTAGAAATATGTCCTGCAATTAAGCTTATCCCATGTATATCACCTTCAGGGTCATAGGAACCCAAGTCCATGCCAGAATTAGCTCACAGATTATTGGACTCTGTCTCATTTTACCTTATCAATGACTACCAGACAGTGCTCAACTTCCTTCAAAATTGATCAGGGCTAAAGCACAGTTTCACTCTCATATCTGTACATCTGAAGTTGCACAATGCAGCAAGATCTGAGATTCTCATACTGACAACATCCAAACGCGTGGTGATCCACCTCCGTGTGCATCTTGCCATGACAAAGCTCCTCATAGACCCCCACTGGGTCCATCTCTCTGTCTTCTTATCGTTCTATTATTATTAGATAATTCATTTTTATACAATTCAAACTGTCAATCAACCAAATTAATATTCTTTCTGCTTTATGAATAGTAGACAAATGTGCTACCACTGAAGTACATCTTCAGTCCTTGCAGAAATTTTTTTTTTCTAGTTTGAGATGGGGCTCTTTGTATAGCTCATTGTGGCTTTGAGTACCCGATCCTCCTGTTGTCTTTAGTACCCCAGCGCTGAGATCATAGTCATGGGCCCATGGCCTCTAACAGCCACTTTCGTCTTTCATCTGCTGTCTCCGCACACACAGAGAAATGTCTAAGACCCACAGGATGTTCTATGCCTCTGACCATAGCACTTGGGAGAGCGAGGTAGAAGGATCAAAACCAAAGCGCTCAGGCTGCAGTACACTTCATGAACGGCTATTCCAAGTAAAAGATTTCCCCAAGAAAGCTGTGGGTATGAGCTAAGTGGAGTTTACGGCTCACATAGATTATTTATACAGAAGCCATTTTTAAGTTAAATGCTTTGAAATTCTTACCACTTTTTTATGTATTTTGTGGGGTGGAGGCAGGGGACGGCATGCGCACCTTGCCACAGCGCTCATGTGAAGTTCAGAAGAAAACCCACAGACAAAGGCTCTCTCTTCTACCGTGCTGACCTGAGGAACTGAACTCGGCAAGCAGGCTTGGCTGCAAGTGCCTTTTGCCTGCTGAGCTCTCTGTCTCTAGTCTTCAAGTTAGATGTTTTTATTATGTTTTCCTGATGTTATTTCATTAAAATTTTATCAAGGAGAGATTATCCCCCACCCCCGTGACTGCTCAACAAGAATTGCAAAAGAACTGTAAGGAGGTAATTTCACAGAGTCTAAAAATATCATTTTAATACGTTTCTAGCCCCATGTTCTTTTTTTTTCATGTTCCTCTACACTAAAATTTATGGTTGATATCATTTTCAAAACTATTTTAGCTACTTTATTAAAATATTTGATTCATTTAAATGATAAAATATTCTAGTTAGGACTCTTCAACTAGGAGAAATAAAAATCCAACATTTCTCTGCTGTTGAAAAATAATTATATGTAGGCTGATTTTTTGGGGGGGGGATGCATAATAGGTATGGGGTGGGGCTGACACCAGCAAAGAGCATGTGAAGCGAATATTTCCTGGCCTCACTTCATAACTTAGACCAAAGCAATTATGTGCTTTAAGTAAGGCATTATAGCTACCACGAAGCAGGATCAAGGAAGGGAATAACATAATGTTAGCCTTATCTGATGCCAAACTCTGACTCATTTCCTGCATTTTATTGTTATCTGTGTCCTAAAAGTTAGAACATGGGCTTATTTACAAAGATATTTTAAGAATCTCACTATCGTGCCCCAGTCATAATTACAACCTGATCCTTGTTGCACACTCATCAACCCTAATGACGCCCCCAAAAGTGCCGCGGCCCCTTCTAGGCTAGGTTAGGGCACCTTGAGGAAACAGTTAGAAAGGGGTTCTTAGAAGATAGCTTAATGAGTGAAGTGCTTGCCTTGAAAACAGGAGGACCTGAGATTGAGCCACTGGATCTAGGTAAGAAACTGAACATAATGGTGTGTGACTATAGTGGTATCAAGTAGGAAGCAGGCATGGGAGGATGCCTGGAGCTTATGGACCAATCAGCCTAGCCTCTTCTGGGAGTTTCAGGCCAGTGAGAGATCTTACTTTACAGAATAAGATAGATGGAGCCTTACATTCATGTGCACGCGCATGCACACACACACACACACACACACACACACACACACACACACACAAATTAATATATTTCTTTTCAACTTCCCTAATATTCCGAAATTTTGATATGCTATTAAATGTGAGACTACATAAAAACAGTTGTAACAGGAACTATTCCCACTTTAGATAAATAGTTGAAAATGAGAAATATGACAAAAATGTGGTGTTTGCAAATGAAAACTCTAAGAATTGGTGTCTTTTTATTTTGATGAGTCCCTTGAGTTCTTTCAATTATGAATTAAAATGATCATTAATTTTCCTCCTTAAAAACACAATTTCTTAAACAGTAGCCAATTATAAACCGAGTAAACATTATTTTCCTCCAGATCTGTATTTAAGGACAACCAGGGAAATGTGGACAGAGACTCAAGATTCTCACCATTGTATAGACAAGAAAGTAGCAAGATTTCAGCTGAGGACCTGCTTAAACTGGTATCAGACTACAGGAGGTAGGATATTCTCAGTGCCCCTTTAAGCAACCAACACTGATTTCTTCTCTCTCCTTAACACCTGATGCTGAGTCTCAATTGTCCAGACATCTCCAGAAACCGATGGTTATCCAGTGACTTCCTTTCTGTCCAAATCGTGGTGCCTTAAGGATCAGTTTGCCAGAACTGTGCAGATTTGTGATATGTCAGACTGTGTCATTCACCTATAGTTTTGTGACAACCCAACCCCACAATTCAGTATCTAGAAATAGCAGTGTTTGTGGTACTCCCGATTCTGCGGTTTCAGTTTGTCTCTCCCATGCATGATATTGGCTGGGAGAGGCCAGCCGGGACTGGGCAATCCACTTCTTCCCCACAGGAGCTTCTTTCTTGAGATACGTAGAAGTCCTTATTATAGTATTTATCTTACACTACTAGCCTCTAATACACAGAGAGCTCTTGTACTCCTTAGCCTCGAATAATGGTTCTATTTCTCCTACCTAAGAAGCAACAGCCCCTTATCAACTAATTTTGTGTACCCTTCAAAAATATTATGGTACATTTAAAGTATAGCCAATACCTTCCATAGCATCTGTAAATTATTTGCATCTATTGAAATAGATCTATTATCATCATCATTAAGGAAGTTTTTTGACTACATAATTAGAATGATAAGTAAACTCTTAGGCAAGAACCTATACTAATCTTAGTTCTTTGTAGTCCAGGCAGAGTACTGGTAACATAAGAGACCTTTCTGCCCTTCGCTCATCCAACATCATGGTCAAAACCTGCACCCAGACCTTCACAAGGCTCCTCGGGCCACCATGAGAAAATAAGAAGGACTATTCCTTTTGCCTTTTTGGCAGTCTCTTAAGATTTAAATAGCTGTAATGATGAGCAGAATAGAACATGCAAAGACTTGGGGATAAACTGATACAACAAAGACCAAAACAAACCCTGACACACCTTATGCTGTCAGGGAATAGGAAGAAATTATTAATGGTATGTGAGGGGCACCTAGAATAGATAGTGCAGTACTGACATTAAATTAAAACTGATTCCTCCTGGGGACCAATTTCCATGGTAGAAAGTTGCCATTGCTAACCTCAACCCATCAATGCACTGAACATGGAGCTGGGAAGAGAGGTAAAAGTTTGAGGCTCAAATAATCTTATGGTTCAAGGTCAACCTGGTCTACAGAGTGAGTTCCAGGACAGCCAGACTGTTACATAAAGAAATCCTGTCTCAAAAAAAAACCATAATAATAGTCATCATCATCATACGAGGTGTGCATGAGTTATTTCTTCAACTGCTGTGGCCAAATATTTGACAAAAGCAGATTAAAAAAAAAAAAAGAGGGATCACTTTGTGTTTTGCTCTCAGGGGATATAGTTCTCCGTGGTAGAGAAGACTTAGTAGCAGGTGACATTGCTTCTGTGGTCAGGAAACAGTGAACAGGGACCGGAGCTGGGCTGTAAAACTCTAATGCCTGCCCCCAGTCACCGACTTTCTCCAGCAAGACTCCACCTCCCGAAGGTTCTTCAACCTTCAAAGAATGTGCTAGCTGAAAGCAGGGAAGGAAACAGACCTCCAGAGACAGAGTGAACTTGCGTGCTAATAGGGGAAGAGCCTGTATACCTGTAGAGGGAGTCAGTTCTTTGCTATGGAATCTAAGGGTGAATGCAAACTCTTAGCATCTGTAGCAAAAACTAACTTTGTTCTTAAATATTCTCAAAACTCACGTTGATAGCGAAATGCTTAAGCAAGTTCAAATAAGTCTTGTTGACAAGACCATAATAATAATTTACTGTTATATTCATCTGGTCACATGTATAAGTGAAGTCAGAGAAAATAGTTTAAGGTATTAGCAGCATATCTGTAACTTGACTCCTCCCTGATTTTTGTTTTAATTTACACTAGCATATATTTTACAGGAATTAAACTATCCAAAAAGATCAATATACTGTTACTCTTTACCCTTCTCAAAGCTCAGAATTATAGTGTAAGATGGGGTTTTCTTTGAAAATGAAAATAATACAGTGTGTGTGTGTGTGTGTGTGTGTGTGTGTGTGTGTGTGTGTGTGTGTGCGTGCGTGTGTGTGTGATGTCCTTTCACAGAGCTGACCGGACAAGCAAAATGCAGACCATCCCTGGAAGCCTGGATATTATTGTGGACAACATCCCCTTGGAGCAGCCAAGTATGATGCCAATTTAGAGACTTCTGAGCATCTTGTGGGAGGTTATTTGGTTGTTTGGTTAGTTTGTTGGTTAACTAGTTAAACACAAAATTTGGGTTGCTTGGGGATTTTGTCTTCCAAATTGGAAAGGAATTCATTATACTATAGGAATATGGGACTTATTTGTCCATTGAGACAGACAATGAATTCATAACAGAAACTATACCCTGGATAGCTTAACTATCATCTTTTCTACAAATGTGGATTTAATACCCGGCAAGATATTAAATTATTCACATAATCCTTAAAGCCCTGGAATGTTATGAGGAAAGTCAGGCTTAAGTAAATGAATAGCCAAGAGTGAGAGAATTCATATTCCATTTAGTTTCCCTGACTCTACTGTAGACTGGTTCTGCCATACTGCACTGACAACAAATTACTTTGAGGATGGGGCACAGCCACCTATGTGTCTGAAATGTTATTACAAAGAATGTTTACCTTATTTGGAACATGATAAAAGCCCCTGCTTTTACTGACCAAAGAATGAGGGTTTCCAAATACAGAATCAAGGTTTCCTATAATAAATGATGACCAGGAGGAGACGATAGACAGGGAATAGTAGGATGCCCATCTCTCCTGAGAAGTTTCCACAAATCATTTTAATATAAATTATAATGAGAATTCTAACATAAGTTCCAATCCTGAATCATTTTCACACTGGTTGACGGGAAATAGCAGTGGACAAATTAAGCCATTACCTCTATGTGATTTAGGGAGCAAGGCTTTATTGCTACAGAAAAGACAACGTAATAGAAAGCCAAATGCTCTCTTGTAAAGAATGGTAGAGTGATAGAGAAACTTGAGACTATAACAAAAATATTATAATTGACTCCTAATTAAAAAATAGAATTGCCATATGATTCCCAAATATGTATAGCCAATCTCTTTGTTTTATCTGAGTCCAGGAAGGTTCTTTGTAGAAAAAAACAGCAGGTCTCTTTCTGTTTCAACAGGACATCTCCCTCCTTCAAACAGTGGAATGACAGAAGTTTTGACTTACACATTCCTAGCCATCTCTTCTTTATTTTTTTCTTAGGCAATTTTTTCCTTAGGCTAACTACAAGGTTAGATTTTTTTAAAGGTGGTAAAAATTTAAGAGAAAGAAAAGTAACAAATACTGTACAGAGGGCTTTAGGCTTTTGCTGTAAAAATCATTCCGTGTATGAAAAGTTAGTTAATTCATCTGTTAGTCCCACTAATAGACACACTGAATAATTTGATCCTGATATACAATAATATATGTCTTTTATTTATAATAGCATGTGACAGTCGGTGGGTTATGCCTTATCTTATACAATCTACCTATTCTATACACATGAATATATACAGTATATTCTATATACAAGAAACATTATAAAAAATTATAAATCCATCTCAAATATTTGCTATGTTTCTTAGACATGAATTTTAATACTAAATATATAACTTTATCATGCCCAGTGCCCCCACTTTTATTCTCTTAAGGTTTCTATTTTAAGCAGATTCATGTTAAAATATGTTAAATGTTGCTCGTTTTAGAAGACCCATATTCAATGACAAACTCTTATTTTCTGATTTCTTAAGACTGTGTAACATCGTCCTTTATCCCTGTCAAGCCTTTCAACGTGATGTCTCAGTCAGAACCTACAGTGGAGGTGGAAGAATTTATTTATGATTCAACAAAGTATTGCCGTCCATACAGAGTATACAAAAATCAAATTTATGTCTACCCCAAGCACCTCAAGTATGATAGCCAGAAATGCTTCAACAAGGTATGACACACATTTCCGAGGTCTTAACGTCTCAGTTCGCTGTATATAGATCACACAAGATGGTTCTTAAAAGAGCCACTTCAAATAACTCTGAGTCAAGACTTGAAGAAAGTGTTTAGCCAAGGGTGGGTTCATCCTAGAATTCACTTTAGGATTATTCAAAGACAAATGCATTTTTCAGCATCTTGAAATGTTACAAAAAAGGTATCTGTAGACAGATTTTTATTTGGGCCACTAGCTCACAAAAAAGGACACTGAGGCTTTTTATTAATTATGAAAGCTCTGCCTACAGTTGCCTGCCACCAGCTCTTATAACTTAACTTAACCCATTTGCATTCATCTACATGCTACCACATAACTCGTGGCTTTTATCTCTCCTCCTGTGTGCCTTGCTCCCTCTCCAACTGCCTGGTGACTCCACCTTTCTTCTTCCCCAGACTTCTCTATCCCCAGAAGTCCTGCCTAACCTCTTCCTACCTAGCTTTTGCCATTCAACTCTTTCTTAAACCAATCACCATGACACATATTCACACAGTGTAAAGGAATATTCCAAAGCAGTTATTTTATAGTTGTTCATCTCTGAATTGTTTGAAGATGCATGGTTGTGTAATACATTAATAATCCTTTTTAAAATCAGCCTAACATAAATTTGATCTAGGCCATTATTTTGAAGTTTCTTATAATACTCTGAAAATAACATGCTTAGTTCTGTACGTGAGCTTTATTGTTTCCTTTAAAAAATGTCTCCAGATCCTGCTGTTTCTGGGGACCATGGATAATGTCACAAGGCAACGCTGGTTATTCTACATTTTTTCCAGATTTAATTAGAAGCTACTTATTTTAGGCCCTTGTATTGTTTGGGGTGTTATTTAAGAGGAAATTACCATCTCCATTTTTCCCCTCACTATAATTTCAGGCACGAAATATAACTGTGTGCATTGAATTCAAAAACTCTGATGAAGATGGTGCCAAGCCCATGAAGGTGAGTCAAATCACTTGGGGACTCAGCATGAGTGGGAAAGCAGGCACCTTGGTCCTTTACACCACTGGGGGAGCTTTGTATGAGTATGGTGAATGAAGAGCAATTTCAGGCATTTGTTTAAGATCTCCTGAAATCGTATACAGTTCAACAGCCATCACTAATGCCATCTATCAGAACTGCTAGTCTCCCACAGCTCTTCACCTCATGATTTGGAGAAAGGGAAGTCATTATAATGCAAAATTACTACAATAATTCCCTGTGAAAAGTCTGTCTTGTGCACAAACTAGTCCACCTCTTGATCCAACATGCTTGGCTTGTAGCAGTACATCCAGCTTGCCTTTATACTGTCTTCACATAAAAGATACTATACACAGGCCTATTGGTTAACACAGGGTGTCCCTGGAGAGCTCATATTTATGAACGGGACAGTAGGCTAATGCAAGGTGTCTCCATAGAGCTCACATTTGTTGAGCCAAGTGCCTAAGGGACTAGAAAATGATTCTGAAGAAACAGTCTACATTGCTGATCACCTGAGTTAATAATACCACTCTTCAGACCTATAAAACTTAAACTGGGCTGCCTTTTTAGTGTTCATATGTGATATGTTCTGTTTTTAAGAGTTAACATAACAAAAAGATAGCCTGTAAAAATAAACAGGAAATCTACTTTTACTGAGACTGTGGTCAAATCTTCTAGGTTGATAATGTCTCACTAACCCTGCCATTGCCCCAGGCTATTCCTCATAATACCATCAGGTATAAATAATACTCTGATGATGCTAGCAGGAAATGTGTAGTCTTATTCCAAAGAGTGCGCATGAACTTAAGAATGAGCTGACTCATCTAGGATAGAGAGGCATTCTTCTGTGTAATCTTGAACCACTGTGAGCATCCATACAGACGGAGCTTTTCACAGAATTAGTATCAGGAGTGGAAAGTTAGCATGTGACATCATGGACAATGTCTGGGTAGGAATCACAGTAGCCCCCCCCTCCAAGGGGGATGAACTAGGAAGGAAGGGCAACAGCTACTGTGTGGGCTTCCTGCTTCATTGCCTTATTAACCTCATACAGAGACATGGGGCGCCCCATGATATAAGACTAGATATAAGATGAGAAGAGAGATCATGAGCTCCAGGCATCTGTGCCCTCTCACCTGTGTGAGTCATGAAGGCCTAGCCAGTCCTCCGGCCTGATAAGAGGTTAGGATATAATAACAAAAGCTGAGTCTGTCCTGCTACCTCACCTTCATGGGTAGGCATTGGTTGGCATGGAACTGGGGACCAGCCAAGCCTGAGGACCTTAACTCTATCAGAAAGTCATCCTTCAGGGGTCTATCTTGAACACTAACTCATATTTATGGCAATCAAAAGTCGTACAGTGAGTTGGTTCAGTGTTCAACTCGTGGGCCATACCTCTAAGATGCATAAAGGCCTTTAGCTGTTCTTTGATGCCCTATTACACAGTGCACACAGAACAATGGGCCAAGGAAGTCCAAAGTCAGCTGGATGTCATCCTAGGAAACCAATCCCAGTGTGCACTGGAATTGGCCCTTTTCACCTTTTCAGACACTCATTCTGTTCCCCTCCTCATTTTCTGAACAGTGTATTTACGGAAAACCTGGAGGGCCGCTCTTCACGTCAGCTGCCTACACAGCTGTCCTGCACCATTCTCAAAATCCAGATTTCTCTGACGAGGTAAGGACCAGACCCCACAGCCTCCGCCTGAGACTCATGGGTGAAAAGGTCAGGGAAATCTTGTCTAGACTACATCTCAGATTGAAGACCATTGCGTACAGCTCCCGAGGCTCTACAGTGACACTGACTGAAGTGACTCTGACTGGTGATAGTCCTGGTGTATGCTACAAATTCCTACAGTTGAGCTCAGGGCTGAGCTTCAAAAAAAAAGATAAAAAAGATAAAAAAGATAGCTTTATTTTATCATTTTTTTTCAAATGAGACTGTTTTTTTTTTCATTTATTTTGTGGGTGGTTTTGGTAAAGATTGTATTAGATAGCTTCACCAGTCAGTACATATGTGTTAGCAGGATATCTAGATGTTATGAGTCAACACTATTGCTCACACCTGCATGAACTTCACTGGGCTCAGTCCCCTCCTCTCACAGTTAGAAGTGTGACCTGTTGTCCTCCAAAGCTCTGAGAATCCAGCACTCCTGTTATATAGATGAGGGCACTGGTTTGAGTAACGTTGCCAGGGTCGTCCAGCTACTAAGTGACAGTCAGCATTCACACCAGGCCACATAGCCCTAGAGAGAAGCTTTCCCACTTGCCATAACTCATAAGAAGCATCACTGGGCTAGTGGTAAATGGCTACACACATATTAGCTATGCTATAAACAGCCTGAGACAAGTTTCAGTGATTAGATCCAGCTTCTAACCCTAAGACAAACCGAACTACTACAGACAGCGAGGATTTTATATGAGTTCCTTTATTGACGCCATAACAAATTAGCACCCTTTAGTTACTTAAAATAATACACACCGTTTACAGCTTTGGTGGTTAGAAGTCTGAATTGGCTATCATGTGGCTGAAATAATGGTGTCAGTGAGGTAGGATGTCTCCAGAAATGTCTAGAGGAAGATCTGTTTCCTTACCTCTTGCAGCCTCTAAACTTCACCTCACGACTTGGTTTGTGACTCTTCTCACATCTACCTTTTATAAGGACAGGCATAGGGCTGGAAATGTAACTCAGTTAATGAAGTGTTCACCTAACATACCTCAGGTCCTGGGTCCTAGTCCTAGCACCACGTACAAATATGTGTGGTGATGGGAAGTAAGGACAGGAACATCCTAGAGTTAAGATAATTTTTTGCTATCTAGAAAGTGCGAGACCAGGGTGAGCACATGGATCCTTTCTGAAAAGGAAGGAAAAGAAAGGGAGGAAGGAATGAAGACAGGAAAGAAAAAGTCTCATCGTGACCCCATTGTACCCTCTTGTCATATCTGATATAATCCCAGCGTTCTCACCTTAATCACATCTTTGAAAGTCCCTTGTGGCTTGCACAATCATATATATATTCATGGGTTCTGGGTTTTAGAACACAGAGTCATCTTTAGGAGCCATCTCTGTCCACCACCCATGTGACATAGTTGTCATTTTCCAACTAAATAACAGAATCCCCTGACTTTACCTCCTACTCCCATGTCTACTTAATCCTCTTATTTTCCTCCATCAATCCAGGTAAGAAGACTTTTTTAAAAAAAGGACAAGGACAAGCTAAGGAAAAGAGTTATTATCACATTACAGAATATCTGCCATATTGATTGACCTTCTGACATAACACATGTGAAAGATGCATTTTTTTGTAGGTGTAAGAATTTCATAAATTAGTGCTCTCAGTGTCTCAACGCTGCTGCGTCTGGCTTTTAATCTTGCTCATTTTCTTATATTTCCTGGAATCTCCTAAGACCTTTTCCACATGGCATGTAGATTATGAATCCCTTAGTGGTCTTTGCAGCACAGATTTAATACTAGGGTTTGATTTCCTCGACTACAGGAAGAACGATTGCACTAACTTTAAAATAGATATAAATTATCCAATGCATTGTTATAACAAAATGGAAGTATTTGCAGGACTTTTAAGTCAGGGACTGTGAAGGCTAATTTTATGTCAACTCCACACAAACTAGAGCCATTTTAGGAGAGATCCTTAATTGAGAAAATGCCCCACCCGATTTACCTGTGGGAAAGGCTGTGGTATATTTTTTGTTGTTGTTGTTGAATGATTTTGGAGAATCCAGATCACTGTGGACAGGGCTCCCCCTGGGCTGGTGGCTCCAAATGCTTTAAGAAAGCAGTCTGAACAAGCCAGGAAGAGAAGTCAGCAAACAGAACTACACTGGGCCTTCTGCTTCGGTTCTTGTCACCAGGTTCTTGCCCTGCTTGAGTTCTTGTCTGACTTCCTTTGAAAATGGACCATAACATGGAACTGTAAGCTTAAATAAACCCATCCCTCCCCAAGTTGTTTTTCGTCATATTTAGTCACAGCAATAGAAGCCTTAAGACAAGGATGCTTTCATTACCATTTAGTTCATTGAAATTCTCGAATACTTGGTGCATTGCTATATAATCTTGAAGTGGGCTAAGAAGAAATTTTCTTGTGCTCTGCTTATTATTATGGATTTTGAAATATATATTGGATTTTGTAAATAGGTTAGTGTACTGTTGTATAAACAGTGCATAAGCTTGTAACCCATCAAAATCCAGGGATCTTCAAAATGTATCACAAATCAGACTTATCTGGAAGACTCATTGAAACAGAATACTCAGATTCAAATATTCAACATGTCTGAGTTAGGCCTGAGATTTTATGGTTCCCAGATAACACTGATGCTACCATTTCAGGGACCACACTGTGAAATCTAACAGTCCTAAGCCCTTTTTTAAACAGAATAACGATAAACCAGAAGATGCACAAGACATCTAATTAATAATCTATGGGCTTTATTAACTCCTTGACTTGACTGTTCTCAGAGCAACTTAGTGACTCATATAAAGCTAAGTGCAGGTTACCAGGACAGGCTCCTGGAATCCTGGTATACAGGGGTCATCGGAAACCCCATGTTACTAACTCTACCATCTCTTGCTCACTCAGAGCCCCCAGTATCTCTGACCTTGTGTCCCACCCCTGTAGTGTCCCTATCATAAGACAATGAGGAAATTAAATGCATGTGACAGAGCTTTGAAACCTAATTTAAAACATGATATGAAATGTAGGTGGTTATTTCAAACTATTTCTATGGGGTAAATAACCTATCTCACTTTTATTGTTTTATATTTATGTTTAATCAGAGGCATCATTAGTATAGCTTCATTAAATAACTCCTTACTGGCTGTGATAAAAGTCATTTCATATGTTTGTGTTGTATTTTAGAGAGACAGAAGCCAGGCTTCCAGTTCCCTTGTTTACAGCCACAGTTCTCAGTGATGTGCACATGAGTCGCCTGGGTACCTTATTAAAAAGGCACATTCAGATTTTGTGGCACTAAGTTTTGAACGGCTAACAAGGGTTCATTTAATACCCATGCCCATGAGCATACTCAGGAGGCCAGGAGTTACAGTTTTACCTTGTTTGTTTGTTTGTTTGTTTGTTTACTAGCTTGCTTATTTATTTTGTTTTTGTTTTTTCAAGACAGAGTTTCTCTGTGTAGCTTTGGAGCTTGTCCTGGAACTCGCTCTGCAGACCAGACTGGTCTCAAACTCACAGAGATCCACCTGCCTCTGCTTTCCGAGTGCTGGGATTAAAGGTGTATGCCACCACTGCCGGATTACGGTAGTTCTTTAATGTTTATAGTTCTGTTGGTGAATGGGTGTTTTTGAATATGTGTGCTTAATCGATACTCTGGAAGCATAAATCATGTGATGAGAGATACTACATAATCTAAACTGTCATCTACCACAATAAGATATCAAAATAACATATTAATACATTACAGCCAGCAGATTGAATATTTGTTGAGGGTTCTTTCATTTTGACTACACACAGACCTAAATTTCACTCCTGTGCTGACGTTAAGCAAATGATTTTAATCTCAATCCACATGTGATGTCTTTCGCTGCAGGTGAAAATTGAGCTCCCAACACAGCTCCATGAAAAGCACCACCTTCTCTTTTCTTTTTATCACATCACGTGCGACATCAATGCTAAAGCTAACGCCAAAAAGAAAGAGTCCCTGGAGACATCAGGTACTTACAAGAAGTGACCCGAAACAGGTCAACGTGACATATGTCTAACTTGAGTTGGAGACCATTTTGGAAAGATATGATTTATTGGTTCTTAAATGAAGTTGCTGTTTTTTTAGTGACAAGTGGTACATTTGTACTTCTTAGCACAGAGGTTTGTGTTCAGAACCTTCTCCATGTTGCTTCTTTGCAGTGGGATATGCGTGGCTTCCTCTGATGAAACATGATCAAATAGCTTCTCAGGAGTACAATATTCCGATAACAACCACCCTGCCTCCTAATTATTTAAGCATTCAAGATTCTGCAAGTGGAAAGGTATTGAATAGTGCATAATTTACAAGAATTTTTTTTTGAAAAATCAGCTATGAAACAAGGCTATCCTTTTTTTCTCTGTTATTTAAACTAGCATGACAGTGTGTGTGTTCAGTGCAATTTTATGAAGTTAACTTACAATAATCCTACTCTTATTTTATTGTGGCCACTAAAAATGAACCATTAAAAAATGGCTCTAAGAAAATATGTCAGACCCATCGCCAAATCTTCCAAATGAATTTGCACATTCTCCCATCTCTAGAGTGGTGTGGCAATAGTGACTCAGAACAGCAAATTAACATAAGCTAAATGACTTGATTCCCTTACCTCATTTTGTCGGTGATGGTAGCAAACTCTTTCTTGCAGCATGTTGGAAGTGACGTTAAATGGGTGGATGGTGGCAAGCCACTTTTCAAAGTGTCAACATTCGTTGTATCAACAGTCAACACTCAGGTGAGTACCATGTCCTGCAATGGAGACTATGATGGGAAATAGGATGCTGACTCCTGCGTGTGGAGGGAGAAACACATCAGGTCATGAGTTGTCAAATGGGCAGGCGGCTGAACCTGTCCAGAAAAATGCTTAAAGTGTAATTTTCACCTCTTCAGATAGACAAAGTGCCCTAACTCCTTAAGTCATAAAACTTGAGGCCAAAATTCATGTCTTTAGAACATGGCCATTCACTCATGATATGATTTCCTCCTACTTACAGCACCCAGATCTAGAACCTGTTCAATGGCAAAAAAAAAAAATACTTTTGATGTTTACCACAAAACTAAGTCTAATTCCCATGCCTACCCAGGACCATGAGATAGACAGGACTTCACTGGAAGGTCACTTTGGTCAGCTGCTGGCTTGGTTGCTGAACAAGTCACTTTAACTTCTGTGGTTCCTAAGGCCTCATCAGAAAAATGCTATACATAAAATATCACTACTTAAGCTTGTGATGGAGAGCAAAGTAAGAAAATTCACGTGAAAGTAATTCATGAGCTACCACGTGCTGTCTACACATTCATAACTGTTCAACTGTAAGCTTATTCTTTCTGTTGTGAGGCAGCTTTTTCTGTTTCATACTGTTTTATATCAACCACATATTTGATTCCTAAGGATGATTAAATAATCCAGGAACCACATAGAGATAAGCACATAGATATTACAGATAAAGATTCATAGATAGGTTTTTAAAATGAACAAAGTTCAATGTTTCAAGGATACTTTCATCCTCATCCTTAGTCCTGGGTACCACAACTAATTACCCCACCTCACCTTGCTTGCCAAGGTCCAAGGCTTCCCCACACTGTGGTTTCCAACTCATACTCCATTTCCCAAGATGCTTTGGGTACTTGCCTTTCCTCAGCCAGGTAGGAAGGCACCTGTCTTCTCTTCCTGCCTTCTGCTCATCAATCTGGTTGACTCAGCCTGATCATGCCAATATTAGATCCACTGTCACTTCTCCTAAGTCTTCCTGGTTCCCTGAACCTGCAGACGGTGCTGCGCTGTCCTGTAACCAGATGGCATCTTGTTTCTATTGTGACGCGCTTCACAAGTTGTAAATTAACAGGTGCATGTGGAAGCACGTTGTCATGGTGAACAGTCCACAGGTGAAGTGATCCTGTCCATCCTGCATCCTATTCGTCCTGCCTTGCTTCTGTCGAAAAGGCCTACCAGGGGCCTGACACACAGCCAGCTTCCACTAAATAATAACTAACTGAACAAATATATGGAGACATATCTAAGAGGAAAACAATTGTCTCTAATTAAGAAATAAATGATAAATAGGAAATGAAAGCATTCCACACCCAAATGCCAGTGTAAAGAAAACCCATGCCAGATGCCCATCTAGAATTTACTGCAAAAGAAACATCACAAATATGTTCTCAAAAGTCAAATTTTCTTTCACTTGATTGAAAGAAAAAATCGGTTGATACATAACTTAGAAGTTGGAGAAATTCCAAGCAGATTTCAACAGATCAAAATCAAGATGCCTTGGAATCTATACATATCACACTTTTTGTTGTGTCCTGATAGGGGCTGATACGGACACATTAAACCTGGAAATGTCACTAGGCATGTCAAAGACAGCATGGTGCCCTGTGCATCATAGACTATGTAAGAGAGATTTCTAAAGATCTCTGGAACGTGGACTGGAGAAACTAGGAACATTGAAAACAGGGAAGAAAGAGGGGGAGGGATGGAAGAATAAAAGGATGGAGGGGGAAAAGAGAGAAAGACAGAGAGGCAGGTAAAGGAGGGAGGGAAGAAAAGAAAGAAGGGAAGCAGGCAGCCAGGGGATGTCATTCTCCAGTCAGGACCAGAGGAATAAGAGAACTGAGTATGAAATGTACGGGCATCATCATCCAGAGCGCCGTAGTCACTTGGGGGCCTTCAGTTGACCTCTCTGTCAACAGGGGAAACAAGGCTTTAAGTCTAATTTCTTGGGGAATTGTGCTTAGAAGTGCTTGCCGCCCTCGCTCTGAGTCTGTGCGCCACCACAAATAAACACTTCTGTTGCCTTTGCAGGACCCACATGTGAATGCGTTTTTCCATCAGTGCCAAAAAAGAGAAAAAGACATGTCTCAGTCACCTACCTCGGGTTTTGTCCTTGCTTGTAAGGTAACATGACATGCAGATTGAATGGTTTGTGGGATAGAAACTGGCAAAGCAAACCTATTTCCCACCGAAGGGCAAACCAAGAGGTAAAGATTATTAAGGATTTTTTAAAAACCTTATCCTTACAAGTCAGAGAGCCAAAGAGTTTTACTTCATTCTTCTACGTGATTCTGTATGAACAGAAAGGAGAGAAGGCAAAGATCAGTTTTTTATCCAAAACAAAAGTAATTGAAAATTAGAATGTATTTACCATTGCTAATTAAGCACAATCCTTTCAACATAACCTATACCTTCTGCCACAGCGAAGAAGGTAAATGAGTGGTCAGATAAAGGCAAGCTACGGTGATCACGTGATTATGTCATAGTCCTGAGAACTGCAGACTGTGTTGAACGACTTCCTGCCTGTTCATTTGTGTTTTCCCTATCAATTCACTGCAGAACTTACTAAATGTGGACAAGATCCACTCGATCATGAGCTTCCTGCCCATCATCCTGAATCAGCTCTTCAAAATTCTAGTGCAGAACGAGGAAGATGAAATCAGTGCAACCGTCACCAGGTATCCATAGCAACACTGGGGGCCCAGACTGTGCAACCTTTGATCAGGCAGAATCCTGATGCAATGATTCTCACCATCCGTATTTGTGTACGTTTCATGTGAACATACCTTTCAGATTTAAACACTTCTCACCCTCAAGCCCTTGTTTCCAGATCCTTGACTATTATCATTTGCAGAATGCTAGGTTTTTTTTTCTTCTGTGTTTTAAACATTTTGTTTTGTAGATTCATAAGCAGTTAAAATGGATAATTTGGAGAGCATAGAATAAGTGTCTTCACTACTTAGTCTCCCCCACTGTCAGCACACACACACACACACACACACACACACACACACACACCTGTGTATATATGAAATTATACAGTGTGCAATCACTTGGCATTAGCTTTCTCACACATCACAATTCTCTGAAGATCTACCCAAGCTACCCACCTGTGAGTAGGTGACTTCTTCTCATGGATGAAAAGTATTCTATGACATGAATTGTACCACAGAAGAATTCATTCATTGAAAGACATCTGAATTTTCCCATTTGGGGCTATAACAAATAAAGCCACTATAAATATTCTTATATAAATTCTATGTAAACGTAGCTCTCATGCTTTACTTCTGACAGGGATCCACAGTAACGCAATGACTACACAATTCATTGGTTAATCATTAGAATATGTTTTAGAACCTGCTAGAACGTTTACCAGAATAGTTGTATCATAGTTTCATAGTCCCACAAAAGTTTTTGTCTGTGTTTTTGTTTTATGAGAAAGGGTTTCTCTGTGTAACAGCCCCAGCTGCCCAGGAACTAGCTCTTATAGACCAGGCTGGCCTCAAACTCATGGAGATCTGTCAGCCTCTGCCTTCCAAGTGCTGGGATTAAAGGCGTGTGCCACCACTGCCCGACTGCATCATTTTCTTTCTTTTGTGTTAAATTTGATCACACCAATATCACTAATAAGTCTAGTAATGAATTCAGAATTCTGTATTTCTGTTATTTTGAATTAATAATTTGATCATATATTTGTTTTTTATTTCAAAAATAGCCATAGCATTATTTTTTAAAAAATCACAGCCAGCATTGAAATGTTGACTGTATCTTCCTTGCTCAAAGGCATATTATTTATCTTTTCTACAATGAAGCTTTTAACCTTGACTTTAACACAAAACCCTGAAGTTCTTGGAAAATAAAGTATCAATAGCAGCTTCACAAACATCCAGTTCTGAACCCAGATTAGAAATCCCAAATTGTGCCCTCAACTGGTGTCCCTTTCATGAGTGTATGTGTCGATGTTGACAAGACTTTTAAATATTGCAGTTTAGAGATCTGTTAGAATTTCTGAGTTTTCCCAAAGCTCTTCATTGCAGCGACTGGTCATGTGAATATGAAAAGATATCAGTGCACCGCTGCCTTGCGAAACCCTAGCCCCGCTAATGACGGAAATATACAGCTTAACCTAATCTCTTCTTCCAAAAATAGGTCTTCTGCTCACAGGTTGGAAAGTGAGCCCTTTAAAATGGAACATGGTCATTAATCAGAGCTTAATTAGGTACTTACAATGATCCCTTTTCCAGGAAGACAATGTCAGCAAGTGCAGAGACCACAAGTTGTGCGTTCAGCTCAGAGAAAATGTCTCCAGCGCCGTGTTACACCCTAAGACCTTCCTTATAACTTAGTCCATTCTCAGAATATTTCTGTTTGGAAATGGTGTTGGAAATTGGCTCCCGGGTGTTAAAGATATATGAAGTGCCCTCTGCTGGGGAGTGAGGAAGGCCAGAGCGAGTGTGAACTGGTTAATTCATTCATCATGCATTCACTCATTCATGAAATACCCCATTTTCCAAGTATTCTAATAAAATTGCATCTTTATACCTTCAGCCAGGTCACTGAACATCCTTGCTTTTCCAGGGTTCTGGCTGACATTGTGGCCAAGTGTCATGAGGAGCAGCTAGACCATTCCGTCCAGTCATACATTAAGGTAGGGAGTTGCCACTAGGGCACTGATCATCTGCCCTGCACTGTGTGGCTTGTCTCATTTCTGCACTGTCTGCACTCAGAGGGAGGTTCTCACCCTGAAGTTGGGTGGTGCCCACCGTGTTCAGAACACAAATTTACCTTAGCAGAATTCCATTTCTTTGCATCAATGGGATAGCTGTACTGTTTAAATGTAAAAGCGCCATGTGCGTGTGGAAATGAATATTGATGTCACAATGGTGGGAAAAGACAGAAGAGAAAGCTAAAAGTGTTGCTCCTTTGAAGTTGACATTAGAAATATATGAAACTTCGGTGCTAATCAAGGAAGACATCTGAGGGTTGATTGAATGCTCTGTGTTTCTCCTGTAATATTTTCTTAGCTCTTTTTATTGTTTTCTCAGGCATTATTTCATTTTCCCAGTTACTGTGTATTTGTACCTGCTTCTGGTATGTTAAGTCCTTTATCTTCTGGCATGAACCATTTGCCCATCTCATTGGTGTGCACTGTTTCCTCAGTGTCTCTTGTCAAGTGTCCCCTTGGAGATGTTCTAGTCTCGTTTTCAATTGACTGTGAATTGATGCCAATGAACTTGTGGTGGTGTTTGCACCCCCATAGCTCTGCTCCAAACATCCTGTCATCGAAAGCAAATACAAGCATCCTAAATTACTTCATGACACAAACATTCCCATTTTGCATACACAGGCTGGATCTCTTGAGATGTTATTTTTTTTTAAAGAAAATACATTCAAGTCATCTATGGCGACAAACATGCACATTCTAGATTTTTAAAAATGCACCTGGAGAAAAATTGGGGTCTTTGTTACAGAAACTTCTTTTTTCACAATGATTGGTTTCATAGAAATGTTGCTACAAAAGGAAGTTGTTAAAAAATCTCATTCTGGAATGAACCACTCGGAGATTCCACTTGCAAGGATTCCTATCTACGTATTTTCTGCCAGAAATGTTGGCTTTCTTCCCCAAATACCAAAACTTAATGTATGGCTCTACTTATAGTAACCTGTATGCTAGAAAGAGCCATTTCAAAGCTATTTCCTTAGGATATGATTTTGCCTGTTAGGACCCTGACTTTAATTACCAACAGCTAATTACACCTACAAATACCTTATCGTTTACTCTGTGCCTCATAGAGGGGCATCACTTACATCGCTAGTAGACTGATGGGTGTACTTGCTAATGTAATTATTTGGAGAGAGTTCATCTTCTCAATACGTAGCCCTCACTTTCTATTTCAATCTGCAAAGAGAGCAAATAGACTAAAACAATTCCTTGAATCATTGTACACTTCATTCAGACAGCTTCATTTCAACTGTAGTATCCGTTTCCTCATTCAATGGAGTTGTTTAAAAAAATATACTAAGAACTTCAGTTGTTGTGGGTGTTTCTGTCATCAGCACATCCAGCTTCTGTGAGACCCTAAAGGCTCGGACGCCTTCCCTGTGGTACCCTTGGGCCAGGCTTTATTCTCACCCAGGAAACATGAAATGTCTTGACAAGAGTGTCACAATCTGCAAACCAGAAAAGGGATGGTTTATCTCCTTTGTTCTAAAGTAGCTCAAATCCAGAGATATATTTACACGGAATTTCAGATGGACAATTCCTATATATTTTTTTATAATTTATTTTGAAATAAACAAATACTTCCTAATAAGTACAACCAACATGTGGGTCACTCTGGGGGGAAAAAAATCTCTAAACTGAGAAGTGAGAGCCTAGAGTCTAGACAGTGGAGTGTCCTGAGAAGTAAGCCCCCGGAAACCTCAGCTGTCTCCTCTGATGCAAAGAGGAAACAGGCCAGATGAGGATCCAGCTCTGTGATCAGACTTCTGCTAATGTATATAGACAGAAGGGAAACAATTAACATGTAGATATATATTAAGCCCTACTCCTAAGAGCATTGTTAAAAAAAAAGAGAGAGAGAGATGGGTTGATTCCAAGACATGCTTGTATATCCTTGGGTGATATTATATCATTGTAATTTATATTTAACTACAAGTAAACAAAACACCATTCAAGTTCAGTGGTACCAAGTGCTGCTAACTCACTCCATCTACAGTATCAAAACTGCACACATCCACCATGTCTTTTTCAAAGATGTGTGTCTAAGTCAATCTAATTCAATGCTATGCTTCACAGGGGCTTGGAGCCCTGACAGTTCTAAGAGTCAGGTTTGCAATGTTAGAATATTTCAGGGCTAGTAGAAATAAAATACCCTTTAGGATAAATAACTGCATAGGATTCAACAGATGGTGGTGAGTTTGTCTTCATAGGAAGCTGAGTGCTTAGGGGAAACTAATTACCCTTAGCTGTAGCTGGTTTTATGAGTCCATCAGATTTTTGTCTCGCCTTTGAGATGAGCTTCAAACCTCAGGGTCTACCATCATGCCAATGGGCTTCAACATCTAAGGAAAGCAATAGAGATCCAAAAGGAAATGTACTGCTCTCTTACCTGCCTTCCCTCTAAGCTGTAGTCTTTTCTAAATTGTGAATATCATGAAAGCGATGCCCTTTCTTGAGGCAAACCCTCATAAATAAACTACTATAGTTCAATGCGAAATATTTAATGTTTTTGAAATATGTGTTAATATGTGTGTGTTGACGTTTGTAAAAATATATGGAGAAATAAAGAAGGTTATCACCAAAAAAGTCCTTGGAAGAAAGGAAAGTAAGCATCATTAGTTTTCTTAGTGATGGTTGATGTTTACCAACCTCTTGAACAGTTGTGTGTAGCATAGGATGATAAAACCTGGACTTGTGGGGATTTATCTCCTCACTTCTGGAAGGCACCTGCTTCCCCACTTGGCTATTTGAGTGGGTGCTCTACCCTTTCAGGATGAAGAATTGCTACCATGCCACCCGTTGCCAGTGGAAGGAAGAAGGGGAATGTCCTAAGTAGGTGGGTTCAAGCCCTCCATGATTCCTTGACCCTGCTCAATGGTTCTCTGGCCCTTTCTCTTGATTTCTACAGAAAGAGTGCCAAGGGGAGTTTAAGTGAGCAAGGCCCTACTTCTGCAAAGACCCCAAATAGAAGCCAGTGTCCCCTACTCTTATCATTAGGCCTCCACCGACTCCATGACTAAAGATGATACAAGCAGTTGAATATGAGAGATGGGCGATTTGTGTAGGATAATCTTCAAAGCCTTTTAGGAGTAATTAACTTTGTTCATTTTTTTGGGTCTTCTTCAGTTTGTATTCAAGACCAGGTCCTACAAAGAGAGAACGATACATGAGGAACTGGTGAAAAATTTGAGTGATCTTTTGAAGTCAAATGATTCAACAATAGTCAAGCATGTCCTAAAGGTAATATTCTTTATAATAGTACATAAGTTACTAGCAGTGGATACAGAAATCTATGACTAAAAGGTGACAAGTCCCACTGATTTCCACAAGTCATTTTCCTTCTAATTTCTAACATAAGTTTCACATCAAAACTGTATTATAACAAATTATCAAGTAAAAGAGGGGTCTTCTATATTAGGAAACAGAGAGGAGCAGGTTGCACCTGAGTTTAGTGCTTTGTCTAAAGGCAGAATAAATTACTATTAAGAACTATCTAAATCTTCACAAACAGTAAGTATAGCACAAAGTTTGGATGGCTTAACAGTAGGAAAAATTACTTCAGAAAAGATTATAATTACATATTAATGAGCATATTGACAATAGAGGGTAAGTGAGTGACAGCCAGTTTTTGGTCTCAAGTCAAAACATTGTGAGGACATGAAGACGACACCACAAAAAAAACCTATAATTCAACGTTGGAACCCTGAATTTAGATGCAGATGTTTTGTCTATTGTGACTTAACAGATTCATGTGCTTGGATTCAGCTGATTGCAAACATCTCGGAAGACAATATGACATCATGAGCCATCAACATAAGTTCACAAAACTCTAATTCTGACAAACCAAGTAGTTTTTCGTAAGCAGCCTTCTGAGTAAATTTATTATGTTTATTCAGCTGGTATATTTCAGGTGCCTACCTTGAAGCAGTCAGACTCCTAGGCACTTGGGATGCATTAGAGCAGTGGCTAAATTCCATGCCTTTGGAAGCTTATTGGGGGGGGGAAATGAGCAGGCAAGTTGAATGGGAAAAGAATGCATGGACTAGTTAAAAGGAATGAGCATGCAGAGGACAAAAAGGAAGACTTGCAGCTCTCCTAGGTAGCAGACCTGAGAGAGAAGGAGACACTTGAGAAGGGCCATGGGGATTTTAGAGCAGAGCCTTGCAGGAACAGGAAAGGCCTTACCTGTTCGGTAAGGCTGTAACACGGTTCTGAGTCTGAGATCAACACTGCGGACAAGGATGGGAGGAGGGGTTAAATGAAGTTAGAGAAGGCGTGAGCACTGAGCCTCGCCTATGGAGCACCATGGGTGTGGAGAGAGTCTGCTGAAAATGGAAGCAAATGACAGAACATTTGGTATAATGACTAAAAGTGCGTTTGGGACAGAATTGGAGGCGGAGGTGGTTGCAGCATGCCTTGGATTCCGTAAATATTCCTAATAGTGTGGCTTTCACTTTCACTATCAAGCAGACACTTTGATTTCTTTGGTGAACTAATCCCCTCACTAAGCCGTATCTGCTTCTTTAGAATGGACATCAGCCCTCCTACCCTTCACCTAAGCCAATCCCTTGGGCTAAGGTGATGATCTATAAAGTGTTAATTACCCCAGCACTGAACCAGCCAAAAACTGGATGTCATCCAAATGCCCTGTCACAGTACAGCAACGAGGTTCATGATGGGTGAATATGAGATGCGGTGATCTGATCCGACCCCATGCTAATGACTCTCCCTAATGAGGTGTTAAGCAACCTTTGTTAATTTAAAAAGGCAGTCTCGGGAATAGGTAGGCAACAGCAATTTTCATGGGGAGTTCAGTGGTAGAATAAAGGAAATACACCTTCAGTGTGTAAGTATCAGTGGGAAAATGATTAACACCTAGAAAATTAGCACAAAATTGAGACCCTGAGGGTGAGCCTGCCGCAGAGCTTTATTTTAGTGAAGCAAACAGAACATCTCATGCAGAAATCTTTCATAAACAAATGCACAGAAAGTCATCTCAAGTAAGCTGTCTGCCTTTTAGCTTGAATTTTTGATATTATTAAATATATTAGAAATATATGATGTGAGCTACGACAATTATAACTTTGATAAAAAGTCATCCTAAGGTAACAGAGAATGCATTACAGCCCTGGTCCATTTAACTTACTCATTTACTTCAAGGTTAAAAGAAATATAGCAATATTGTATTATAAAGGTCATAATTGTCATTATTTTTACATAGATTAATAAATCTTTTATTGTCTTTTTTCTCTTATAGCATTCTTGGTTCTTCTTTGCAATTATTCTAAAATCAATGGCACAGCACTTGACTGATACAAATAAAATTCAGGTAAGATCATAGGTAACATAGCAGTGTAATATCATGCAACAATTACACTAATGAACACGCTCTCATTAGTTCCGCTTATATTGGCTGTGTAAAACCTTAGCAATTTAGGTTAATTGCTTTTTAAGTACAAGAAAAGATCACACATGTTAATAAAGGCCCATTTGGAAGCAGATGCCAAGACAAAATTACAAATGCAAAGGTCTATTGGGAAGAAGTAATTCTAAAGGGCAAATGGGAAAAGAGGTAGGTAGCTCTGATACCGATGAGAGAAATGGACAAGGAAAGGGGTTAGTTAAAATGAGCCTGGCACTGACGAAGCTTTCACCCTGGCCAGTGCATCATCTGGAAGCAGAGGATGCTCGCTGAGGGAAGTGGGCCCTGCGCAGGTCCTGCAGGCAAGCCTCAGTCAGCTCCATCATTGAATGGAAGAAGCCACGAGTGACTGATTGGGGTTGCGATATTGTTGCAGTATGAAAAATTTCCACATTAGCCCAGAATGGAGTAAAACAAAGGTTTTTCTATTTGGGGATAAACTCACAGAAAGGATAGCGATCTGCATACATTGGGAACTGGAACTGAATCCAGCAGCCAAGAGATCTGTCCATGCTTTTTGTCTGCGTATACAGTACATGAGACTATGCCCAAAGTAGGCCAGTATCTTAAAGGCAATTAGCTGAAAGGGTTCCCACATCACAATATGGCAGCTTTCTACATGGTTTCTATTAGTCAGAGAAATATCTGGACTTCTGCCATCCACAGTTATCATGACTCATTGCACATACCCATGAATCTGCAGCTCCACCGCCCCCATAGGCCTCTCTTAGAAGAGGAGGGGTTGGTGGAATTAACTCAGCTCCCATCACAGCGGCTTGTCTCCTCAGAAACCTGGCTAACCTCCCTCCACAATTCATTCCAAGTCCTCTCACCCTAACTAATAGCTGGGAAGATCGTGGTGACCCACCAAAGAGTGTGACACTGGCCCTCCTCCCGCAGTGGTCTGAATATCTGTCAAACTCACTTTTCAGCAGCCAAAGTCATTGTCAAGGTCACACTCCACGTAATCTGTGATCACAATCACAGTCGGGGAATGAAGACCCACCCGCGAGCACCCAAGGAAATGCCTTTAGTTCTCACACACCCCTGTCAGCCCACATTTGGATAGAGCCAAGACAGGAGCACTAGCGTCTGCCGCCACCTTACAACCACCACCACCACTACCAGGAGTAGCATCAGAACAGTATTGCATGTGGTGCGCATGGCAGATCAGGGACATTGTCCTGACTTGCCTTCCTGGTGGGGAATAGGCCGTGTTAGAGCTCCCTCTGGCATCCTCACAAGGACAGCTCCAAAGAACGAGCTCCATGTTCAGTGTTAACCAAATGTCACTTTCTTCTACATAAACGCCACATTTGGGACCAGGTAGATAACTTTGGAGTGGTTCCTTGGCACCCACACCCCCATCCAACCCCATCTAAATGTTATCAGAGCTTCGGTCAAGATTCCCTGAAGTTTGCCTGAAGATCAGAGAGTAAAACAGCCTCACTGGTCAGCCTTACAGGCCAGGCAGTGGTGGCACACACCTTTAATCCCAGTAACCACACTAGTTTACCATAGAAACCAGTCGGTAGTAGTGCATGCCTTTAATCCCAGCACTAGAGAGGAATATAAGAGGCGAAGAGACAGCTCTCAGGCACAGACTGATTCTGAGATTCTGGGTCCTTCTCACCTCAAGCTTTTCTGATATTCATCCAGGGGATGTTTGAAAACGTTCCTTGTGCAATTGCCATACCACATGCCTTTGGGTTAAGAGTAGGAGCAGAACCCAAGGAGAACTTCAACATAAGCCTTACAGAGGGAGGAAGAAAGAGAAGACCAAAATCTACGGCTTTTGTCCATGTCTTCGAGGAGAATATAGAAGCTCTGGTTTTTGTCATGAGTCTTAGAAATTAAGAACACCCAAAGAGGAACCTACAAATGTGTTTCTCTTATTTAACAATTGTTTGTTGAGCCTGGGGATAGCCCGGTCAACAAAGTGCTTTCTGCAAAAACTCAAGGACACAAGCTTGAGTCCTAGCACCCACATCTAAGCCCAGGTGGCAAATATTTGTAATTCTAGTGCTGGGAAGTGGAGGCAGGGATTCTCAGGAGCTCATTGGCCAACAAGCATAGTAAAGAGCAAGCATCATGTCCCAATGAGAAATAGTGTTCCACAAAACGAGGAGGATGGCCCCAGAAGACACCTGAGATTAATATACCTGTCTATACACAAAACTCCCCGCAGACACAAACACAATAAATAAATAAATGATTGCTGCTTTTGCAGTGGTAAATTATTTATCTTTATTGCCCAGGATATATGAAGAAGAATGAAAATGATAGATGTGATTTATTAGGTTGGGTGTCTTTTTATCAATTTGTATGACTTCCACAATAAATTTTAAATGCATACAAAGAATAATGATGAGGCTTCCAAAATACAAGTGGCATTGCGAAAAGAAAGACAAAACTCAGCTTCCAAGTTCCATTATTAAGTCTCCATTTAAAACAACCCCTTAATAACAACCCTCATGTTTTGTGTTCTTACAGTGTGGAAGGCTGCGTGTTTGCAGCTGATAATTACATAATTCACTCTAACTCCAAATGCAGTGGCAATAATTAGTAAAGCCAACTTATAGAGATAAGTGTGTCTACCGACCATACAGGAAAGGCCTATATAAACCCCAAGAGACAGCCTGGCTACCTCAAACTCTCCCCTGTTGTTCTGACATCCTAACATGACATAAAATTGCATTAAATACTATATAATTTCACACCCAAACTCTCCTGTTTAGTGTCAGAAGGACCCTAATTTTTTTTTAATTTTTTTCATTTATGTGACTTTTGATATTTCTTATCTGTGGCAATTCTGGAGCCATAGAGTTAGGCCTCACTAAAATCCTTGTCAGAAACTGTTACAGACAAGTAACTATTCCCACCCAGTTATTTGCTTATTTATCATAAGTTTTTACATTTTTGGTTTTGTACGTGTACAGTGTACATGTAGTAGTGTGTGAGTGCATGTATGTGTGTGCAGGAATACATGTGTGTGAGTTCATGTGGAGGCCAGAGGTTGACATAAATCAGTCTTCAACTTATTTTCTTGAGTTGGTTTCTCTCTAGAGCTGGAGCTCAGTGTTTGGCTACACCCTCTGCTCGATAAGCTCCAAGAACCCCCTGTGATAGGTTTGAAGAAGCAAGTCACCATGCCCAGCCTTTGCTGTTCCTCCTGCTTCCAAAGCAGTCAATTGACCAACTGAGCCATCCCCTGGATACTCATTATCATCATATCTCTTTACATTTTGACAACTTCATACATATATATAATATATTGTGATCATATTCACCCCTCCCATTACCCTCTCTTATTTCCCTTACTTTCCCTTTTTCCTTCCCATCTAGTCTTTCATAGGCTACAATATTAGACAAAGTTACATCGCTCCTCCAGCATCTACTAACAGTCCTTCACTCCTTAGGAAGTGAAGTAGGGCCTCATGGGCACTTCCTCTCTCCATGCTTGAAATCTGAAGGGTCCAAGGGTACAGGTTTCTATACTCACTGTGTGACCACAGTAGCCGTAGCAATGTCATACCTGATGGCAGCATTTCACGACATCCTTCCCAGTCTTCCATGGTTTAAATTCTTTCCACCCTTTCTTTTGTGATGCTGGCTTCGATGGGGAGGGAGCCTTGCTATAGATGTCTTTTTTAAACCTGAGTAATTTCATAATTTTTTGTTGGGAAGATTCCTGTATTTTTTTAAAAAATTCATTCTAAATTGGGATAAATGGAGTTATCTGACTAAAACTTATATTTTGAAGTAATACTCACTTTAAAATTAATATGTTTTATTTAAAGTTTAATAGGTATGTCTTAAGAGGCAAGAGAAGGGAATGAATATATGAGTGCCTAAGATTATTCACATTTTGCCTCGCACATGTTGCTTGGATATTTGAGATTAATAGCTTTTAATGAAAAAGTATAAATTTACCAGTCAAGTTAGAAGGGAATATTTAATAAAAACAATAGAATTATGACCTTGAAACTTAAAAGACTTTTAAGTTTTATTACTTCTTTCAAGTTGTCCAAGAGCTGCTTTGATTTGCCTTTCTGTAAAATAAGGTAAGTCTTTCGGTTTGCTTGTCCCTGCTTGGTAGGTCACATGACACATGATGAATGTGGCATTCTTTCCTTAGCTTCCCAGAGCTCAAAGATTCCCGGAGTCTTACCAAAGTGAACTAGACAATCTGGTGATGGGTCTGTGCGACCACGTGATTTGGAAATACAAGGAAGCCCCTGAGGAAACAAAACGAGCGAACCATAGCGTCGCCAGATTCCTTAAGGTACAGTTACGTGAGGCCACAGCTCTGTCCAGGTCCCCTTGACTGTGGCTGCAAGGCATGTTGGATGCCATTAGCTTACTCTCTGTTTATGATGAAGTCTTACACGGCGAGGTGAACACTTCCACTTCCGCATTTCGCCTCTTGACATCTGTTTTCATTTTCATCCCGACTCAGAGGTCGTTAAAGAAAAATAAAGGTTAGATTAAAATGTGCTTCCAAGTATTGTCAAGTCATGGTGCTCCTAAATGATTTTAAGCAGTAAGAGGAGTGTGGAAAGGAGCAGTGATGTCATCTCTTGAGTATCGGTGGTGTGACATTTTGCATCAGTCACTGATGAGATAACAACACCATGGAGTCACTTCAAGAACATGGCACTCTGCTTATGTGACCTCTGACTTTCTTTAGCCTGATAAAAATGTTGAGTTATCCATAGAAAAAATGATCAATTTAAGTGTGAAGCTGTTTTTAATTATATTTTCAATTAGTTCACAAACGAGTAGGAATTCATAAGGCTTTTTCAGACCCCCTTAACTTCCATCAACCCACCCACAACCCTCTTTCCCTTCATCCCACTGTCCCCATCCTCACTTAAACCTTTAGCTCCCAGAATTCCTCCTTTCAGAATTTCCTTCTTTCATAGCACATGTGTTCTCTTACCTCCTCTTATACTTTTTACTTGGGTTGCAAAAGTCACTGGTTTCCAAGAAAGCTTCTTCATGCACATTTCACTCTGGTTAAACTTCCTCCTGGCCTCTGGTCTCCTCAGTCCCATCAAACTTCTGTCTCCTTACATCCTTCTGCGCCCAATTTCCCATTTCTGCTTTCACTGCACCTATACTCGACTATCCCTCTCCCTTCATACTTTTTCCTTTCAAGCAGAAGAAAAGGATGGTCTGCATTAAAAGGGAAATGACTGCATTTTCTACTACACTTGAAGGCCCATGAGAATAAAATGTTCTTTTACACTGGTAGCATACTGGAAGTGCTAGACAGAATAGAAAATTTGATGAACAAATCTATATACAGTTCAAACGCAAAATACATTTAAGGAAGCATCTGTAATATTCTCCCCTAAACCAAAAGAAAAAAGATGATTAAGCAATTTTCTAAGAGAGGTAGAAGACTCCGGATATACGCCTCTTGGCCTAGATGCTTGGTGCTTGTTCAGAAAGACAGCCATTCATTTGTAGTGTGTTTCCACAAAGGTTATTGCTGTCTATGAATAACCTCACGTGGAGGTAATGGAAAATGTCCAAGATGAAAAAGCAAATGGTAATGGGGATAAAGCATAGTTTGACAATAAGTACATATTGCTAATAATGGCAACAACAATAATTCCAGGATGATCTCTCTCTCTCTCTCTCTCTCTCTCTCTCTCTCTCTCTCTCTCTCTCTCTCACACACACACACACACACACACACACACACACACAGTTTGTGAATGGAAACATGATGTTTTGTATCAGAAATGTCCATCATGCACACATACTTCTAACTTAATGGCATTTATTGACACAGAAGAAAAGAAATTCTTTTCGAATGATTGTTAGGAGTAGCAAAGGAAAAAGAAAAACAATAAAACCAGATTTGGAAAAAGTAAAATTGAAAGTCTTGATTTGGTCCACTTTCAGGAACTGAGGAACCCTGAGCTCTCTCGCCCAGCACTGCCCTCTTGGCGTTGTATTATAAATCTCTGTACTCCTCCCAACAATCTGTTAATAATAGCCATGTTTCCCACTTTGGGTTGTGTAATTCCTCATCAGTGGTCAATAGTCAAGTAGTCCTCCTGGCTGTCACAAACTACTTGGCAGAAGCAACTTAAGGAGCGATTTGTTGACCCCTGGATTCAGAGTGTCACAGTCCGTCTTCCTAGGGAAGACCAAGCAGAAATACTGTGCTCTGGTGTCAGGAGTGGGTCACAGCTCGTTCACACGACACAAGGAAAGAGAAGGAAGGTGGGGGGAGGGTAGAACTTTCAGAGTCCCATTCCTAGCAGCTCCCACTAGCCAAGCCTCAGGTCCACAACCTTTAAAATAACAACACATCCTGGGGACTGGTTGCTCAAAACCTGAGCTTGGGGTGGGGGTGGGGCATTTCTAATCTAAGCCATAAATACTATCAGTCATTGAAATCTAATGATGAGAAGTTTATAATGCCATAATTGTATTACTTGTTTTCCAATCAGCAAGAGAACAGATTCTCTGGAAGCACCACTAGGGTATAAACATGCTCTTGTGTTTCCACGTATCCTCCCTCAACCTCCGTCATGACACTGCACCATTTTTACAATGTTGTGCCCAAATCTGGTGTGTTTTCATTGTTCTCTCCTTAAAGCAGGAGAGTCTCACGTGGATCCACATCACAGGAACCTGCACAGCTCTTCTGCTTTCTTCTGTTCTTCTTATTCTTTTACTTGTCCTAACAAAATGGGTCTCAACTCTTTCTGGCACACCCCTGTTCAAGTGCTCCTCCTTGGGCAGCATAGTGTCCAGGCAAGTGTTGCTTTTCCTCTCCAAGGTCCATGTCCTGCCTCTTCGTCTTACTGACCCTTGTTCTGTTTCAACTAGCTTTTGAGAGCCATTTGAAAATGTTTGATATATGATGAGGTGGACCTGCGATCTTAATAAATGTGATTTAAAATATTATAAACATAAAAAGGGGTGGCTAAGCCCATTCCTGCAAGGGAATGCCTTCCTATCTAATCTGTTTGGCTAGATAACCTGTACTTGGGGAATAAATGAATATTCCCCCTCAATCATTTTTACTGCTTACCTTAAGCCAGCTCCTAACACTAAGCTAAAGGATCAGAGTCCAGAGAGAAAAGGGAATTAGTAAAAACAGTTGCTTTGTCAAATGCCAAATGAAGGATATATTCCATAATCATCAATGTGCCTATTATAAATTTGACCTAAGATCTTCCTGGCTAGATTAGGAGAATCTGACAGCAGGCTAAGCAAGACACAAGCAGCTCCCTAATTGAAATGACAGGATATTCTCTTTTCTTCAAATATATGCTTCCCTGGATGAAATAGAGAACAGTCCCTGTTGAAGGAACAAGAATGAAGACTGGTGGTCCCTTTTACCACTTTCCAGCCCTCCCAGGGTGTACAGCAGATGGTCTCCACCCAAACAACTCCAGGATCAATGTACTAAAAACAATAATAAAATGTAATCAAATAATTATAAAGCAGACAACTTTCTATATGAAAGAGAAAGTAAAATATCTCTTTGCAAAATTCTAAGCAATATTTTAAACAACCGATAGGTGCGCATTTAGAATTTAGGTGTTTATACTGTCTGCGGAAGTTTAATTAGTTGTTAAATGCAGATGGGTGTCCTGACATCCTTTATAGATTTTTTAAAGATACATGGCACACTTAATTAAGTATTACTCTGCTTCAATATATAATCATCTTTTCTAAAATCTCTCAAGCAAAAAGATTTGACTTTGGAATTTTATCTTCTTAGCGCTGTTTCACATTTATGGACCGGGGATTTGTGTTTAAGATGGTGAACAATTACATCAGCATGTTCTCCTCTGGTGAGTTCAAGGTAAGGACCGACCAGGGATGGAAGTAATGGTTTGCCAAGTCCAACAAGATAACTAACTGAGGGGTCTCTGTGTGTATCTACCTGACACACTACCTAGCGAGTCATAAAATAAGCCCTATATTATCTGGTTTGGGACTTTCCTTTGTTGACAGACTTCGTATGACTATTTTAGTCTCCTTGACTGTTATGGATATTTAAGTTGTTTATATCATCTTAATTAATTGCACTAATTAATTAATAATGTATTATTAATAACATGTTTATTTTAGATGTCCCAGGGTTATATTTTCAAGGTATTTCCTAACAATCTTCTGGATTTCATTGTACCGGATTTCAAAGGACATTTTTGTATTTTGTTTGTATGCACTTTGCATGTACATACATATTACATTCATTGTACTTTGTATGTACATCACATACTTCGTATGTATGTGCTGTGCATGTACATTGCATGTATTCTCTTTTTATCTCTAATTTTATTAATTTCGAGCTTCTTTCCTTTCTTTTGTTAGTTTGAATAAATGTGTGGCAATCATATTTATCTTTTCATAGAACCAACTCTTTGGTTGAGTCTCTTTTTTAGTCTTTTAGTCTCTATTTCATTAATTTCTTCCCGGGACCCTTGTTATCTTTGTAACCTATTGCTCTAAAATTTGGCATGTTCTTCTTTCTCTGAGACCTTGAGATACACATTATTATTTATTTGAGAACTTTCTGGGTTTTTTATAGATGCACTCGTATCTGTAAACTGTGTTCTAGGACTAGCCTTAGCTCTACCCCAATGGTCCTTTAACTATTTCTTTAAAGAATATTCGGTTATGTTCCTATCATGTATGAAATGCCAATAATCTCATTTAAGTATAGTTTTTCCTTGACCTACATATTTTTCAGAAGATAAAATGGCATATTTTAGTGAAGAATAATTAATGTGTGTGCAATTTAATTATACACTTGCTCACATGTGTACATGTGCTCACAAAAGGACACATCCAATACTGTTCTTGTTTGAAATGGCAATTTTCTACATTATTAAATGCTGTTGTCAGAAAATGAATTACAATCTGAGGTAAAGAGGTATTTTTTGTAAACTGATAGTGAATATGGTAGTGGCACATTAACTTGCTCTTAAAGAATGGCTATCTATCGTACATGAGAGAGGATATAAAACCATTATGACTGTAATAACTGTCCCTACTGATGTGAGTATCTTAAGACATGAACTACAATTATCTTAAGCCAAGTCTGTATTCTGTGACTCACTGTCCAAATCCAGATGTGATGGAAAAGACATGCCTTTTTGCAAAGGAAGGGGAAAATGGGGAGCTAAATGACACTAGGAACTAGTGGTGTGTGAAGTTGACTCCACTTCAGAAATATGTACCATTGTCTTCCATGACTGTAGCCCTCACCTCCTCATGATCGCCATCTGGTTTGTGATTGGAGTTGGATGTTTGGGAGAGCTCCACTCACATGACACGACAGGACTGAACACACAAGAAACACATTGCAAAATAAGCTAAATGCATAATTTGTGAAATGCTTAATATGACCTGTTCTAATTCTATTTGAAATCATTGGTTTCTGATAGTTTATTTAAAAAATAGCATTTATTGAGAAATTGGATTCACGGAAAGGTGTATTGCCAGTATTTTTGTGTTTTTGAGGTCAAGGCATCCATTTTACAGAAGTGGGAAACAGTGGAAAGTATTGGCTTTGTAGGAAAGAGAAAGAGTAAGTCCTTGGCTTGTATCTTGGCTTAGAAAAAAGTTGGTTGACTTTCTGGGTTTCTTAGAACTTAGATGATGCGAACACAACCTTTAAGTCATTCTTAAATTTGCAGATTTAAAATTCCTAGGTTAAGGCAAGAGAATAGCAAGCAGGGAAGCTGTGTCCATCTATGACAAGTGAATCAAGTTTGTTACTCAAGTATCTCATCACCAAACAGGCTGGAGTTTGGAAGGTTTTTTTTTTTTTTTACTTTGGGGTTTCCTAAGACACTTAACACATTTTTATAAATTGAGAGCTGCAGAAAAAAACTTGAAAAGTCCCTTGTTTTCTCTCTACATGGTACAATAATCTGAAAAATTAGGGTAACAAATCATGGTAAATAACCACACAGAACTAAAAATAATGAAAACAAAACAACTACATATGGCCAGCATCTTGCTGTTGAATAAAATCATGTACCAAAAAGGCTAATTCATTGGCACTGAGCAGATAAAATAAAGCATATGCCATAGTGTCTGAGTCAGTGTTACTGAGACAGGATAAAAGTTATTGAATTCTTACGGGTTTACACAATTTCTTTTCTAGTGCTAAGTATCTCTAACTGCTTTCCGGAGTACAAACTTCAATTACTGTTTGAAAGAAACTTTTATGAATGATTTAAAATAATGCATTTTGATTTAAATCTGAATTTCTTTCATTGAATGTGAAGTGTTAATTAGAAAGTGAGATGACAGTTTTGTTGAATATTCTTTAATGAAGAACAATAGCCAGTTCCACAAATAACTTCAAAGTCCTAAAATTACTGGTACCCTAATGATCAAAAAGTTGGTTTCTTTTAGTATTTTTTCAATCCTGTAAAGTTCTTGCAAGATTCTTTTTATTGATCAGTCATAATAAAACACGGCAAACATGTACATTTTTGAAAAGTGATCCACATTCTCCAGCAAGAGAAGATAAGGAGGTCTTAGAATTTCCTAACAGTGTGTGTTCATGCTGGGTAAAGAAGTCGCATAGTTGATGAGCCGTGAGATTAATACCTGCAACCCAGACTGCTGTAGTTTCCTCTTTGTACATTTCAGACCAGGTGTGTCCTAAGACTGTACTCAGTCTGTACTGAGAACACCACAGAACCAACCATCCAAAGTCCATTGATTTATCGTGTGTTTTGGTTTATAAGCAAATTATAGTAATTTCTTGCACAGTTTTTGGAAACCACTGGTATTAAAAAATGTATGTATCAAAAATATATGTATCTGCTTCTAAATACAGCATGTACATAAAAGTTTCATTCACAACAACAGCAAAAAAAAAAACAAAATAAAATAAGCTAAACGCGTGAGTTGGGGTTTTCTCTCATAGAAACTGAATGTGGGTTACGGTTGGTCTCTTTTCTGAGGTGACCTTGAGCAGTGTACCAAGACCAGGAGTGTGGCTACAAGAAGCTCTTCTGAGAAGGCAGCCTCCTATAAACCAAAGAACTACTTGGTAGTCATAGAAAACCAGCTGTTTCTTCTTTGTAGGGGTCAAATTGAAGCGCACACCTTTTTCACTTGTGTTTATGAACATTCTTGATATGCAAACAATAGCCATCCTATTTGCCTCTGTTTCAGACTTTATGCCAGTATAAGTTTGATTTTCTTCAAGAAGTTTGTCAACATGAGCACTTCATTCCTCTGTGCCTCCCCATACGATCAGCGAACATTCCAGGTAACAAGTCCCAGTGGCTTCCTAAATCCTCCCATGGCTGGTGATTTGTTCTGCCTCTGTTCTCCGGTTTCCTTAACCGTTCAGTCTAAAGATGTAACTTAGGTATGAAAGCCTAACAATCTGGTAAAAACCAGAAGGTGCCCCATATGGTTGATGACTACAACTCTGTATTTCTCTTCCCCTTTTCATCAAAGAGAAAGCCAACAGAACTTTAAATCTTGGTATAAATCAAAGAATTGTAACTGTTAATCCCGATATTCACTGGAGCAAAAACAGTTCTGCCATTTTGACCAAATTTAAGCAAACTATTTTATTAAAATATTATATGCCGACCAAGATGGGTCAGGACCACTACTGGGGACTTCCCAGCTGAGTGTCCTGAGACACAGGTTGTCAGGGCTTATATGGACAAAACTCATAGGCCACCATACTTTCCCATAAGGTTTTGTTGTTATTTTCAAGAACTACAACTCCCGGAATCCAGGAATTTACCTGGTCTTTGGGCAGGTGGTGCTTACAGGTTAATTTAGGGTCCAACAATAACCTAGAATTCTACTAGCTCCAAAAGGCAGATTTCCACTGATTTTGATATCTAAAGACAGGGAGGAAAATTTTGTGAGTATAATTTTAGTGGAGATTATTAATTAACATGCATAATTGCCTTAGAATGAACTTCTTATAAATGAGTTCTGGGAAGGAAGGAAGGAAGGAAGGAAGGAAGGAAGGGAAGAGAGGGAGGGAGGGAAGAGTATTTTAAACTCTTGATACTCCTAGGTTAGAGAGAGAAAGAGATTGGGTAAAGATGTCAGAATGGAGCACGCTTCATTTACTAAATTTGATGTACATTATTACATTTAAATACCGGACATAAATGCACATTTAAAACCTTTATATGTGCATGTGCATGTATCTGTGGAGAAAACCATAAGAGAATATAAACATCAGAGACTAATTGAGCATCAAAACGCAAAGAGTATACTAAAATTGAATCAGGGACTTGAAGTTAGACCGTTAGACTGTTTACACTTCAGTTAGATGGTGAGCCTGTTTACACTGCCGTGTTAATGGTCAAGAAACCAGAAATTAAGAAGGGAAAGGGTCTCCTCATACCTATGGCAACTTGCACTGACACTATAGAAAGCAAGTAATAGCACCAGGCCTAGAAATACATGGCTATTCTCATTTCAAATATAAGCTATAAACATCATACCATTCTTTGTCTAGTATACTGAGCATATTCTGTAGTGGAGAGAAAGAGTAGAAATTTTAAGTTGAACAATAACACTTTTGGGTTTTTTGTTCCTTTGGAATGTTCTTTTATTTTTACTTAATGTGTAGCTCAGTAGTGGAGTCCTTGTTTAAAATGTATGAAGCTTGAGATTTGATCCCCAGCACTGAAGAAAACAAATAAATAATAAGCAGTGGGGGGGGGAGGGGGGATGTAGAGGAAAGAGGATGAAGGAAGAGAAGGAGAATTTCTTTTTTTAAGGTAATACCACATTATTGTTGGCTAAGATATTCAGGAGATCAAACCTTTATCATTTTGAGTCCAACTATTCATTCTCAGTCAAAAAACCAGAAAAAGTCCTGATAATCTGCTGTATAGTTCATAGTGGGCAGATTTTTTTTGTACAAAAACCTGGGTCTCATATACAAGGCTATGAATTAAAATAATATTGTTCATGAAATTATTTTGGGGGCGGGTGGGACATACAACCTAACTTTCCTTGAAAAATGGTGATATAGTAGCAAATAATTAAAAATATATTTTAAATTTCTATTGTAAGTTAAACTAGTTAATGGATGTATGTGTGTGTGTATGTGAAATTATTCTCTCTTCACTCCAAATCTAGATCCTCTGACCCCTACGGAATCAATTCAAGAGTTACACGCCTCAGGTAAATAGTCATATTTCATGTTATCTGCATACACAGCAGAGCCATCTTTTCATGTCAACGAGCACAGACTCTCTGAACGCCTATATGTTAACATATAGCCAACATATCCAAGCACCTATCGGAACTTTTCTCTTAATACCTTTCCTTTAGTTCTTTTATATTTTATCCTCCAAGCGTCAGGAAGCTTGAATTTCCCAAGTCATCTAAAATTGTCCTCATATGTACAATGAATAAAGTTCTCAGATGTACATATTTGTTTCTTACAACTTGGCCTATATGGCTTGGACAAGGCATTATTACTGTCTACAGTTTCCCTGCTACATACTTGCGCTCATAAAGCATTCATTCTGTCACTGAGAGTTTCTGCCCTGTGAGGAAAAAGCCTCATTTCTCTCCTCTCCCCAGTCCCTCAAATCAGATTTTCTAGCATGATTCCAAGAGCTCAACTTTTTAACATCCACAGATGAGAACGTGAAGTATCTGCATTTTCGTTTTCACTTCCCACAGTTTCTTCTACTCGTTACAAAAAGCAGAACATTTCCCTCCCCGTTTCCTATCTTTGATATAAAATTCCAGTTTCAGATGTTTAAGATATTGGCTTTATATAAAAAGTCTAAAATAGCAGAGGCTGACAAGATGTGTAAAGAAAAGAGAGCCCTTGCACACTCTTGGTGGGGATGTAAATTGGTAACGCCGTATGTGAAAACAGTTTGGAGGTCCCTCAAAATAAATAAATAGATACAGAGCTACTGTATGATCCAGCAGTCCCACTGCTGGGTAAATAAGCAAGGGTAAGATTGCTATGTCCGGGAGAAGGCAGCACTGCCGTGGTCACTGGAGCGCTATTCACAGGAGGCAGGAATGGAAACAGCCTAGGGCTTCAGCTGCTAATAAACAAACCGTATCTTGCAAGGCAGATTACTGTTTACCCATTGAAAATGAGATCTTGTCATTTGCGGCATAATGGATGGAACTCGATCTCATTCTAGTGAGATAAGTGAGCAGGAAATAAGGACCAGTGACACTTGATCTCACTTATATGTAATTCTAAAAACAATGGTAGTTTTGAGAGGCTCGGGAAGTATGGAGGGGAAGTAAGGAGAAAGGCTGATCAAAATATAGCAAGTTTCAGTTCAGTAGAAGTTAGAAGTTCTGGTAACTGTCACACAGTAGAGGAACTGTGGGCAACGACAATGTACCTGTGCATTTCAAAAATCAAGAAGAAAGGACTTTGAATGTTCTCATGATAGAAGAATGACAAATATTTAGAAGATAGATATGTTTAGCCTATTTAAACATTATGGTCACACTGTGTGTACATATGTAAACCGTACATGCTGCCTCGTGCACCTGAAGAAATTTTATGGTTTTGATGTACTGATTAAGAAAGGAAAAAGAAAAAGTATTTTGATTTCAGTTCCTATGGGTATATATCTCCAAGCTGCATTACTAAGCAATGCAGGAGTTATGCCTTACTCATCTGAAGAATCCCCATTCTGTTTTCCACATTGTCTGTACCAATATACAAGCCCACCTGGACAGTGTATTGGGTTCCTGCTTCTCCACTCTGTCCCTATCAGTCACTGGGACTCTGATTTACGCTTTCCTGGTTATCAGTGGTATTAAACACTTTTTTCATCCTCTTATTGGGAACCGTGATGTCCTCCCAATAAACCTGCTTATTCAAGTTCTTTACCATCTTTTGAATCTGATTATTTGGGTTTGGGGTGTTGTTTTGTTTGTTTTGCCACTAACTCGTATAGATGATTTATTTTAAGATGGATATTTTAAGTATTAAGAATATCTGCCTGCATGTATATATGTGTGTACCACCTGGGTGTCTGGTGTCTGTGGAGGCTAAACGAGAGCTTTGGATCCCCTGGAACTGGAGTTACAGGCAGACCTAAGTGCTGGATACTGAATTTGTCCCTGGGTTTCTCCAGCATCGACACCCAATATCTCAAACCTCAATCCCCATGCCTCTTCTTCAGACACTGTACTTCCTAGCCCTTCACACATGTCTGTTCCCACATACTTGTCTGTAGTTCAGAACTGTGTGTCATTGAAAGTCAGCCTTACTCTTCTCTTCCTTAGCAACCTCCAAGGTCAAGCTCAGTGGAACCACCTTTTCCTAGGACTGTTCTCAATTCCTGCAGACACAAAGCATGTTTTTATTTTAGCCTCTGCAGTGATGTGAGCAGGGCATTTGATAGGCTGTGGCTATTGCCATGCTGAGTTAGTGTATGAGCCTGTGTTTATGTTAGAGAACGTTTTCCCTTCTGACTAACACTCCCAAGGCTGCAGCAGACCACATCTCTGTGGCAAGACTGTGTTGTGGAATCCCTCTTGCTTGGGGGCAGGGTTTTGAGCAATGGTCCAATTTGCCTTTTTGTAATCGTAAAGTGATTATTTAGTTTTCAATAACATTATTTTTTTCTCTCAAAGATATGCCTGAATACTCAGTCACAAATGAATTTTGCCGCAAACACTTCTTAATCGGAATTCTGCTCCGGGAAGTCGGCTTTGCCCTGCAGGAGGACCAAGATATCAGGCACTTAGCCTTAGCTGTTCTAAAGAATCTAATGGCTAAGCATTCTTTCGATGATCGATACAGAGAACCTGTAAGTAGCCTTTCTTTCTCTCTCCCCCAAACACCATTTAATGGCTCGCTGCATTAAATGAATATAAAACCCTTGAGTCTATTGATTTTCATGTGAGTCATTTCTCTCGTCTGCCCTCTCCCAGAGGAAGCAGGCACAGATAGCGAGCCTCTACATGCCCCTGTATGGCATGCTGCTGGACAATATGCCGAGAATCTACCTGAAGGACCTGTATCCTTTCACTGTGAATACATCCAATCAGGTATGTTTGCACATCTCTCCCAGTTAATTTCTTTAAAGGAACTTCTCTTGTTTGTATTGATGTCCTGGAAAACCATTTTTTCCTGCCTGTAAGCAAGTTAGAGGTTAAGCCACGCCGTCTTCAAGAATTCACATCAATACTATTCGTCTCTAATGGCTACTTGAGGCTTCTGTCTGGCCCAGCCCTCTCTTCAGGACTGTTTGTATTCCCTTTAGTCTCTGCATCACAACCCAAGTCTTCACAGCGTTTGCAGCTTCTATGATGTCTTCATGACCTCACATCCAATGTACATCACTCACCTACTACTTCCCATCATCTTTCTCCCACAGATGCTAAGGGTCTTATACAGTCAAAGCCCCAATGCAGCCCATTGTGAGTGTTCTCCACTCAGCCGGCATGGCAAATAGCATAGCAGTCTATTTAAGGCTTCATACCCAGTTCCATTGGTGAGGTACTCGCGTGCAAGCATGAGGACCTGACTTTGATCCCCAACACCTCCATAAACAGCTGAACACTGTGCCATGACTGATGATCTTAGGCCTGAGAGGGTAGATAAGAAATTCCCTAGGGCTCATTGGATGGGCACTCTAGCAAACTTTTATGCTCCAAGTTCATTGAGAGACCTTGCCTCACAAAAGTGAGATGTTATAAGCAGTCCAAGGTGGGACCTACTGAAAGTTGGGGTCATGCCCTTAGAAATGTTTTTGTTTGAGGAACCTTGATCAAATCTCATCAGCATCGTGTAGCATGTTTATAGCCTTCAGAAAGTTATCCAAGCTCTCCAGGCCTCTGGGAAACAAATATGAAAACTGGGATAAAGGGCCTGGTGTAATAGGATCCTTAACATCAAACTGCATAACAGAAAACATTTACATAGGGACTTCAGATCTAGTTCCTAGCGATATTAATATCCATTACATGATGATAATTACATCTGTAATTTAATACATCACTATACCAGCAATTATTTCAACAATTATTCCAATTACTGTTCAGTAATTATCTTTGCTACCTCACTTTAAAATTGGCCAGAAGAGGGGGGGATGTAAGAGCCAACCATCAGGGAAGAGGCTGTGAGATGCAGTAATGTAACAGCCAACCATCAGGGAGGAGGCTGTGAGATGCTGTGATGTAGGAGCCAACCATCAGGGAGGAGGCTGAGGGAGGCTG